ATCCTAAGCAAAAGAGGAAAGTCAAATCCCTAAGTAAATCGATTCATGTTTCGGTCTCAAATACCGCATGACACTAACGATTACATGATTTTGACTCAAAACTTTTCCTTGTAGATGTTGAATTACAACTTGTACTTTACTGCCCTAAATCTCTTAGGAGATAATTATTTAAAATGGGCAATGGATACTAAGATTATCCTAAAGTCAAAAGGACTTGGTAAATGTATCTAATAAGGCAATAACGCCAAGAGAGAAAGATAGATACAAGGCAATATTAGCCACCGTCTTATTGAGAGTCTCATAGATTACGACCTCATAGATTAACCCCATTACCTAATGCCAATAAGGCCGCAGAGGATAAGAAAGAATCCAAAGAATCTAACCACGTCTAAAGTGATAGACCACACGGCCGTGACCGTGGTGGATGGAAAGGACGTGGTTGTGGCCACTGTAACTCATCCGGCCGTGGGAACCACTATAACCGTGGATGTAGACCCAATTCCGGCCGTGGTCGAGGGCGAGGACGATGTGGTATTTCCAAACCACAACACTCGACCAAATGAGTATGCCATAGATATGGAATGGGAAACCATTGGGCTAAGATATGTAGGACTTCCAAACATCGTTGTGACCTCTATCAAGAGAGTGTAAAAGGGAAGAATCCTAAAACCCATTTGGTATATATAAAGATGGTGAACATGATCAAGATGATCTAATAGAGTATGAAACTTCATATTGCATAAAAGAATCAAGTTGATAAATCTTACTTCGACATCAAAAACCTCTATGTTTTTCTTTGCATTTTATGTGTTCATTGATTGTTATTTGCTTGAATTTATTTTATATTATTTTATGTTTAGAACATGATTCTTGTCCATATAAGAAATAACTAAGGACAAGAAGATACTTGTGGTTGATAGTGGATCAAGCCACATGATCTTAAAAGGACAAGAGATATTTTCTAAATCTCATAATGAAAAATGCCAATATTAGCACCATAGCGGGTATAGCTAGTCTTATTGAGGGCCACGGTCAAGCCCATATACTTTTATCAAAGGGCACGCATCTTGAACTAAGCGGTGCCTTGTTTTCACCCAGCTCAAAAAGGAGCTTATTGAGTTTTAAAGATATAAGATTGGATGGTTTCCATATTGAAACAAAGGGTGAAGGGAACAAAGAATTCCTAAATATAATTGAGATCACCAAAGGACATAAGAAAGTCCTAGAGACTATACCCGCATTATCCACTAGTCTCTACTATGCTAAAATCGATATGATCGAAGCTAATATGGCAATGAACAAAGAGTTCATCGAGAAATTCACTTTATGGCATGACCGGCTTGGCCATCCGGGTCAGAATATGATGCGTAAATTAATGACTAATTCAAAGGGGCACACCCTAAGAGAGAAAAGAGTTATCCCTAAGAATCTCACGTGTGAAGCATGTTCACAAGGGAAACTCATTATAAGGCCATCACCGGCTAAGGTAAATAAAGAGACCTTAAATTTTCTGGAAAGGATACAAGGGGATATATGTGGACCAATACACCCACCATGTGGGACGTTTAGATACTTTATGGTTCTCATTGACGCGTCGACAAGATGGTCGCATGTTTGTCTCCTATCTACTAGAAACCAAGCGTTTGCTAGGTTATTGGCCCAGATAATAAGACTGCGAGCCCACTTTCCAGACTTTCCGCTTAAGACTATACGTCTAGATAATGCCGGTGAATTCACGTCCCAAGCGTTTAATGACTACTGTATGTCCATGGGGGTAAGTGTGGAACATCCCGTAGCACATGTACATACACAGAATGGATTAGCGGAATCCTTCATTAAACGAATTCAATTGATAGCTCGACCATTACTCATGAGGTCGAAGCTTCCAGTAGCCGCTTGGGGACACGCTGTTTTACATTCTTCAGAACTCATACGCATAAGGCCATCTAGTGAACATAGATATTCACCATCCCAATTACTCATGGGTCATGAGCCAGACATATCCCATCTAAAGACTTTCGGGTGTGCCGTATATATACCGATTGCACCACCACATAGAACAAAGATGGGACCTCAAAGGAGGATGGGAATATATGTTGGATTTGATTCTCCCACCATTATTAAGTATCTAGAGCCAACTACGGGTGATCTATTTAAGGCTAGATACGCGGATTGTCATTTTAATGAATCCGAATTTCCTACTTTAGGTGGAGAGACGAACAAGCTGGGTAAAGATATCAAAGAAATATCATGGAATCAAACATCCTTAAATTGGCAAGATCCTCGGACTCTGGCATGAGAATCAGAGGTCCATAAGATTATACATTTGAAAAGCTAGCTAATGAATTGCCAGATTCTTTTGATGACCCAAAAAGAGTTATATAAGCGTACATACCAGCTTGTAATGCACCAGTACGTATTGATGTTCACAAGGAACACAATCAAATTGCTACAGAGTCTAACACACGTAATAAACGTGGTAGACCAATAGGTTCCAAAG